CCCAGATCAGTTTTCATTTATCAGCAAATGTATTCTGCCTAAGGTTTCTGTGAAGCACATAGTGTAATGAAATGCCCTTTTATGGGCCTCCCTGGACAGAAAACCTGCTTACCATCTTCCCACAGTTCGGATGCAGATGTTGACCTCCCCCGCTCCTCCCCTTAGGTTTTGTAGTAAAGGCCTAAGCCTTTGGAGAATAGAGAGAGGTAAGAATCAGTCTGCACGGCTGATAAAGCTGGAGGATGGTTTCTGAGAAGCCTGGTTGATGAAATATACTGGAGGAGTCTGTGTTCTTTCATAATTCTTAGGACAGCAGGGAAAGTCTACTTGTCTTTGAGATGAGCTGGCCTGGGTCACAGCTAGCGATGATGGCCCTTGCCATCCTGCTAAGATAATAATGATGATAGTAATAGTAACAGTAACTATTTATTGAGTATCTGCTAGGTGCAAGGCATTGGGCTAGATGCTTTATACATGTTGATGTAATGCTTCATAGCACTATGAGAGAAAAGTGATGTTTTCTTCTCTTAAAAGAAACCAGTTTATCAGCTACGAGTAGTGGAATCTGGATTTGAACCTAACTCTGCTACCTACTCTGTCTGGCCATACTTTTCTCACCATACTGCACTATTTTCTGATATTAAAGGCACTGGAGCCAGGGGACAGAACTTAACTGTGTGCTATGACCAGTTCTGGGGTCTGTATCCTGGTTTGGAAAAGGGATGATATTGGTGGAGTTGTCATGCCCACCCACCACCCCTCCATGATAACTGAGATATCCATTGGTGACATTTGAGCCTTAGACTTGAAGGGTATCTCTCTCAAACCACCATGTAGGTGGAAGAAAATTAAAGCCAACTGCAGACTGAGCTACACTTTTTTTTTTTTTTAATGAAAAAGTCAATATATAAAAAAAAACAGAATAATATAATAAACCCCCATAACATTTATCAAGTTTTTGCTACTCTTTGAATTGCATTTTAAACGTCAGCAGGCCTCATGAGTGATGAAGTTTTCCCAGAGATAGCCCAGTCTTCCTAAGCTTCTTCCTCTCCTCAGTGACCTCTCCCAGACTCCATTCCTCATTAATCTTATAGATGGTCTGCTGGTTATCTTACTTTCTGTCTCTGGCCATCCTTCAGGGGCTGCAGAAAAGAGCTGTAAACATGGAGCTGAGGACCGGACCCAGAACATTATCATGGCCATGAAGGACCGCATGAAGATCCGAGAGCGGAATAAGCCTGAGATCTTCGAAGTTATCCGGGATGTCTTCACTGTGAGCAAAGTTGCCCATGTGCAGCAGATGAAAACAGTGAAGCAGAGTGTACTGGATGGCACCTCCAAATGGTCGGCCAAGATTACTATCACTGGTGAGTAGGCCAAAGTGTAAGGAGACAGGAAGCGCTAGGCTCTGGGGAGGAGCCTAGGGAAGAAGTCAACTGAGTGCCAAGGAGCCAAGGGGCAGGGAAGAAAGAAGACAGAACTGAGGGGAAGAAAGAGGGCCTCTTTATTCATCACTCCTCCTCTCCTAGGAGGCTGGGAGAGCTAAGACTGGCACCCGCAAACAATATGAGTGATAACAGAAGGATTTGGTAACAATCGGATATTATGGACTTTGGTTAAAAATCTGGTAATACAAGAACTGGGGGTGGAGGAGAGGGGACTGGTAAGATATCAGGAAACAGTTAACCAGTGCTTTATTATATTAGCTGGGTGGATGTGGCTGAAGGGTGTATCTATCAGAGGCGGTAATGAACAGCTTAGGGGGAAGTGGTCAGTTAGGGTTTTGATGGGGAGCTGAGATTCTTGAATTAAGCTTTGAAGGAAAGGCTGGTGGCTTGGGACTAAGGGTAGATCTGGAGGAGTTCCTGTGCAAGAAGCAGAGAGAGGCTTTTCTAAGATGGAGAATGTATGAGTCATGCTTCGGAGGATTTCTGACTTCTAGAGCATACTTTGAAGTCTCCTCTATGTATTTGGGTTGCAGTGCTGTGTGCTCAGGGCCTGCAAGCCAAGGACAAGACAGGATCCAGTGACCCTTACGTGACTGTGCAAGTGGGTAAAACCAAGAAGCGGACCAAGACCATTTTTGGGAACCTGAATCCAGTTTGGGAGGAGAAGTTCCATTTGTAAGTCACAGAGGTCTTTGTCTTACTGGTACTATGTATATTTGGGGAGCAACCTTAAATCCTGTTTTTCTGGGCTTGGCCCCTAAGAGGGATGGGGCAGAGGCAGCAGAGAAAACCCATTTCTCACATGCTTTAATTGGGCAGCAGCCATTTTTTCCTGATTTTCTTCTCATGGACTGTTGTATCAGGGTTACTTTACCCAAGCCCTGTCTTAATTAGGGTTATTAACGGGTGTCCTGGGCACTTCATACTACTTTTTCTAGCATTAGAAAGATTTTAATAATCTTTCTAATATAATAAACCCCATAACAATTATCAAGTTTTACTAATTTACAATATTACTACTGCTCAGTTAGAGAACCAGGGACTGACCACCCTATTGTGTACCTCGCAGCACTGCCATCCTGCCTAGGAAAGGTTAGGCTACTCTGGGAAATGGGAAAGAACTGTCCTTGTCCTACAACTGGGTATGTCTGGCTTGAAGGAAGAAATCTGCATTCTGGAGGAGTTCCCATTTCATCTAAAAGGGCTTTTCTTTTCTTTCTGCCTCAACTTCCCCCATTCCCATCCCCACCATTTTTTTTTCTATTATCTCACTTTATTTGACTATTTATAAGATAGTAAGAATGGTTATTGAAAACTCTAGTCTGGGATTTGGACTAATGTCTGGAGAATTGAGATGCTTTGTCACACCCCTAATGACCAGGACTTGAAGTCTGGATGACCTAAGCAGGCTAGCCATATAGAGACTTTCTGTTGGCTCCTTGGAGAAATCATGTGAAAAGGGATTGATTGGGGCTTAGTAAAATCACTCTCCGATCCAGAGGCAATAGTTTCTGGGCAATCACTTGGTTCTTTGAGAATCTGAATGGTTCTTGCGTGAATCCTTCTTATGATTTATTCTAAATGAATTGACTCTGTTGTCAATTTTCCTATTTTTATCCATTTAGTAAACTATTCATCAAGCCCCTGTTCTGTGCAAGACACTGTACATGATGTTTTGTATCTAAAAATGAACAAGACAGTCTCTGGCTTCATGAAGCTCATTGTTGGTTTATTATTTTATCAGTATACCAGTAGTTATACTATTATATTTTGATGAACATGCAAAGACATTATGAGAACACAGAGAAAGGAGCAGCAAATTTTATCAAGTGCAACTTTTGGGGGAGGCAACAAGACCCAGAAAGCAACTGTTTGGGAAAAAGGTGGAGGGGGCTGGGACCTGGGCAAATTCCCTTCTCCAAAGCAAGCACTACAGGGAAAATGATCATTCAAGTGGGTATTAAAGAATGATAGACGTTCACCTAGCACATACGTAGATATGTGGAGGAGCTTGATAAAAAGTAAAGCAGATATGACAAGATGGACATACCATGAACATTAACACCTTTACTAACGCTGGAGAGGGAACCAGCAGTTGCTTCCTAGGGCTCTGTAACATCTATCCAGCTGTTTTCCTCTTGGTGCTGTTGATATAGCTAGCTGCACAGGAAATCAGAATTATCTCTGATTACTCTTCTTTCCCCTCTTTTTAATTTATCCCAAGGCAACAAGGACTGGATAATGGTATATAGAGCCACCCAGGCTGAGGAATAAAAAGCCATTTGCTGGGATAGCTTGACTCCCTTGGAACTTCAGTACCGCTGTTCTCTAACTCCTTCTCTGCCTCTGCAGGGCTTTAACTCTAGTTGATGGAGCTTTGGGAGGGAATTGGAATGGGGGCTGCTGGGTCTGTCTGTCCCTAACAGAGCCTGCCTAATTCTGTCACAGTGAGTGCCACAACTCTTCTGACCGTATTAAGGTACGTGTGTGGGATGAGGATGATGACATCAAGTCGAGAGTAAAGCAGCGGCTAAAGCGAGAGTCTGATGATTTTCTTGGCCAAACCATCATCGAGGTTCGGACACTGAGTGGCGAGATGGATGTCTGGTACAACCTGGGTGAGGAAACAGGACCAGAGAACATTGGTGGGAAGGGAGAGAATGAATGAGGAACTTAGAGGAAATACTATCTACCAAAACTACCACTCAATTGCTAAAGCATACCTGCCTTCCTTGTAGAGAACCGATCATGGGTAGAGTGGGGGACAGAGGAATGGGTGTGGCTTGAACTCCCTCTGACTGGACATTCTCCAGATTTCAAGAAGCCCTTTAATCTTCATACTCATCCCAGTGTCTTAGGCTCCCTATTCTTTGAATGGAATAGGAGGATTCCTATTAAGAATATTTGGGGTGTTTGTGGACTGTATGGTCACTGGAGTGAGTTCACCCTGTTAGGTGAACCCTGGGGTTAGTGCCTCCTTTTCATTGGGTTAAGCCAGCGTGAGAACTGTCCACGCTGTCTGTAGTTGCATTGTTGTCAATTTCCATCTCCTTTCCTTCCTAGAGAAGAGGACAGACAAATCAGCCGTCTCGGGGGCTATTCGACTACAAATCAGCGTGGAAATCAAGGGGGAGGAGAAGGTTGCCCCATATCATGTGCAGTACACGTGTCTCCATGAGGTGAGCCAGCCCTTGGTAGATAGGGTGCCAGAAAGCAATGCTGGGAGGGGCCTTTGAAGATGAATAGGATTGCTAGATAGTTAAAGATTTGGAGCCTGTTTTTTATTTTATCCTTGGCTTACTATGTTATTACACAGCCCAAGTAACAGTCCCAGCCTCAGCTCTCTTTCACTCACAGCCTACTAGGGCCACAGGAGGAACTGAGCTATGACTTGAAGGACAGAATTTCTGTGAAACCCTGCACTTTTACCACCAGATTTTTTAAAAGCTATATATTTAACTCCTTCCTTTGCTCTGTCTCCTGCAGAACCTTTTTCGTTACCTCACAGACATTCAGGGCAACGGAGGAGTCCAGATCCCTGAGGCCCGAGGAGACGATGCCTGGAAGGTGTACTTTGACGAGACTGCCCAAGAAATTGTGGATGAATTTGCTATGCGCTATGGCATCGAATCCATATATCAGGCCATGACGTGAGGCTCTCCTGGGGTTTTGGGATGTGGCTACTAACCCTTGGGGTGGCTAATGAAGGCACATTGATCGGGAAGACGGATCCTTAGGGTAATATGCAGTGATTCATTGCTTCCCTCTCTGAGCTAAGTGAGGTGCATGTATGCACCAAGGCAAAGAGGGTATGTGTATAAAGTGTTTACACATGTGTGTTTATCAATGACTCAGGAAGAGCTTTATACACATCAGTGAAATCTTTTAATTAGTTGGCTTCCCCTGAAAGCCATGAAGAGTCTTTGAGGCTGAGGGTGCTGTTTTTCAGGCACTTTGCATGTTTGTCATCCAAGTACATGTGTCCTGGTGTGCCAGCAGTGATGAGCACCTTACTCGCCAACATCAATGCCTACTATGCCCACACGACTGCCTCCACCAATGTCTCTGCATCTGATCGCTTTGCAGCCTCCAACTTTGGGGTGAGTGTGATATAAAACATATCTACCTGTTATCAATTAATAAAGTTTGAGTTTTCATGGTCAATACTGTAGAGTTGATTGATGAGCCTAAAATTCAGATAGATGCCACGTAGATAGGTGAATTTGTTTCCTTATGAGTATGCAGACTATGCTGATAGACTATTCTTATTTCATTGTGGATATGTTGACTTATTAATAGACTCCTCAGACACAGATAAATGAGAGAAAAATAGTATCACTATGGTTTGGGGGCACACCTGGGCTCAGGTAGAACCTCTCTAGGCCAAGAGCATGGCTGAATCACCATGTTCGTTAGTCCTACAGGTCCACAAATGGATTTTTTTAAATATTACTCAGTCTCTCTGACAGATCCATACCACTTAAATTCATATGAGACTATTGCCTAAGCAAGGATATCAGTGTATACTCAGCCTATCACTTTTCTAGTGTCTGGACTGTTATTTTTCTATTCAGGGTGTGCCCTTTCCTATATTAGGGTACTTGAGAAGTTGAATCTTTACTCAGAATGTCACCTGACATAACTTCAATATAAACTAGACGAAATATCTTTGATCCACCACAAAAATGACCTCTTTAGGCATAAATTCACTGATATCAACTAGTCTGTTTATGGATCTAACAAATTTTTCTTGTTATTAAAGAGAGTCTTTCTATAGATGAATTAATATCATTGATTAAACCTTTGTTTCATTATATTATATCCCATTATATGTTGACTTAATATCCAAAGGGGTGTGTGTGTGTGTGTGTGTGTGTGTGTGTGTGTATATATATATATATATATATATATATATATATATATATATATGGCTAATATGCTAAATGTCCTTCCGACTGGTTGCTATGATGTGCACTGACCACCAGGGGGCAGACACTCAGCGTAGGAGCTGCTGTGATGCCCACTGGCCATTTATAAGAAATGGCACCAGTGGACCTGGTGCCGACAAAGCAACACTGGGCTTTACCCAAGTGGGACACAGGCCCTGCCACCACTCCAGAGTAACAGCCCACAAATCCCAGCCAATGCTGCCAAAACCCCATAGTGCAAAATGCGGCCCATGGCCCAGCCCAGCCCAAAATGGTGACTGTGGGCGCCAGGTAATGACATCACATAGCAACGCCCAGCTTTCTCTCCCTAGCGACTAGCCTCCTTGGCGAACACGTCTTGCTTTATAGCCAAGTGCAAACATTTTACACTTTAACCAAATGTCTGTGAAACGTTTTTTCATGCCTCATCTCATTTGATCCTCAAGTCCTGGAGTAGGTAGATGGGAGACTTGGTAGAATCCTGTTTTCTTTTTGTTAGCCGTAAAACAGATTTAGAAAGTTTAGAAACTTAAATTGATTGAAAAGAAATAAGAAATGGTGGACTTTGAAAGTGACTTCAGGTTTTCTCACTGCACAGAATATAGTCAAACACTGCTGCAGTTAAATGTTTTACTCTTTGTTCTCCCTGTGTGATCTACAATAATAATCTACTTTGCATTGATATTTACTGCTGTGTTGCAGACAATTACTTGACAGAAAAGTTGAGGTGCTTCAATGGGTTGGGAAAAGTTTAGCTAAGTCAGAAAGCAGGTCTAATTAAATAAATTTATAAATATATAAAGCTCTCACTGGTACCAATCCCACATGTGTGTTTTGATCTGTTATTGTCATTCGTGAATTTGGTTGGCACTTCTATTATGGAGAAAGGGCAAATAGTGATATTAAAATATTTCTTCTAATTAATTTCCTTTCAATGTCCACAAATTCGTACATTGAGCCTCTAGTATAATATAATCAATCTGTGCATTCTAGGAGTGCTATGCCACACAGACTGTAGGCATTTAAGTCCACATTTAATTATACCTTTCCTATGAAAATCAACTATTAAATTAGTATATGTTATATAAACTGAGGGAAATGATGTAGATTTAGTTTAAAGAGAAATCCACTCAAGACTCCCTGATCACCTTCCAAATACATCACTCTTTCTCCCATCGTTACTACTGGGCTGTGACTAATCTGAGCTTCCCCACGATAAGTCAGGAGACCACAGACTAAGGAACAAGTTGGAGAATGTTTGGAGTTTCCCTTTATTTGACTAAGATGAGGTAGCATTTCAAATGGATGGAGGTGTGCTCTCTGGTCATCTCCTTTTGATGTGTCTAGAAAGAGCAGTTTTCCCTCCCAGGGACTGCCTTTCCCCTTGCCAGCATGAAAAGATTGCCCAGTTTGAAACAGAGCTGCTAAGAGATGGAACAGAGACCATCAATTTTATTTCTCTCTTATATGTTGCTGTTCTCTTCATAAGTAGAGATGGGATGGGATGTGTCCCCAACCCAACGTCTCCTCCTCTCCCAGAGGTAGTTCAGTTTCTTTATAGTTTTAGAGGCTCAGAAACAGATTATTTTTTCTTTTTTTGCTTCCCACTGTTAGAAAGAGAGATTTGTGAAACTACTGGACCAGCTCCACAACTCCCTGAGAATTGACCTCTCTACATACAGGGTGAGTGAAGACATGGCTGTGGGGCTAGGTAAGAGATAATATTAGCTCAGTCTAGAGAGACTGTACGCCAAACTTGGTTGTAAAGATTCAAGGCAAGGAAAATTGGTCTGCGTCATCACATCCATGTGCATGGCCAATGCCACCGACACCTGTAGTTCTGCAAACTCCAAGGACCCTGCAGTGTGTAATAGTATGTGTGGCTGCTTTTTAAAGACAGTTAACTTTCCAGCCCCACTCACTTAACTCTACCAAATTGTCTGATGATATTCTCATTAGGGAGTCTCCTGAGGATAATCTCTTCCAGAAATGCCCCTTTAAAAATTAGGTAATTATGTTTCCTTCTTGCATTATTCCTTATTCTCCTCATTTTTCAGGGGAGAACCCAGCTAAGGGAAGAGAGAGAGCAGATTGGCTTGGGCAAGTAATTTGTAGCAGAAGTCATCTCATCCCTAGGATGGAGGGAGGAAATAGATCTAGTAGGAGGGTAGGTACCTTGAACGGGCAGGACAGGGAAAGGGGCAGGTTTTCAATTCTTTCTACATTAAATCTTCTTAGAATGAATTCATTACTTGCTTTAAAGTGCTGTCAATTTCCAGGACAGGCAATATATCCACATTAAAAAGTAAGTATAAAAATAACCTCAAAGTAAAAAAAAAAAAAAAAAAAAAAAAAAAGTTTTTACTGATCTGAACTTCTAATCCCCTCCATTTGCACGAATAATGGAGAGTTGACTGTATATCTTAGAGTTGGCATATAAGTAGCTATTTGAAGGTTTAAATAAGTGGTTTTTAATATGAGAAGTGGCTCAACATATCCCTTCAGCTGTCATTGGCAGCTTCTTCCTAAAACTTGTGTCAAAGGGGATGAAGTGAAGCATGGCCGAACGTCCTAAGGAACTCACTCCAAAAGCAATTCTGCTCAGAGCTCTGCCATCTGCTGGCTCCAGAACAGAGGAATAGCTGGAGCCCACTGTACAGGAAGTACAGGTCTTGGTCTGGAGTGTGGCTACACTTATATTCCAGGATATACAGTTAGATTGTAAGTTTTGAAGAACTCACTATTTGGGTGTAAGAATCTTCACCCAAGAAAAATGTACGTGTGTGTGTGTTTGTGTGTGTGTGTTCATTTGTGCAAATGCACACACACTGCATGGGAAGTAGGGTTGGGGGGAGGAAGCATTGCTTTCTGGGCTAAGGATTATTAGCTCTTGCTTTTGGCAAAGGCCTGTCTATCTCAATATTACAGCTTTTTTGTCCATCTCAACTAGGAAAAATTCCAGTGGGTAGCAGTTAGGGAAGTTTTTTATTTCATTACTTCTGGAAGGGGAGGCTTTCATCTTTTTCTGTTCCTTTCTTGCATTTGCTTGATTTACAATAGAATAATTTCCCTGCTGGGAGTCCTGAGCGGCTTCAAGACTTAAAGTCCACAGTGGATTTGCTGACTAGCATCACTTTCTTCAGGATGAAGGTAAGAGATGAATTGGTCTGGGGACTTGGCCACAGGGATATGGAAAATAAGAATCATTTGGCACAGTGTGAGGCTATAAGAATCATCTCCTCTAAGCCCACATTTCCATACAGCTGAATATCACAGCTGACCATGTCCTCTGAAAGACTGCCCTATTTCGCCTATTTTATGTTGGCATCCTAACTTAGTACCTGGGGACTTTGTTCCCTGGGTTACTTTGATGAACACAATGGATGAATACGGAAGGGCTTGGCAGGTCTCCCCATCAGATATCTTGGCAATTTAAATCCAGGGCAAGGTCCAGGAACCCAGAGGAATGGAGGAATCTGGACTAGTTTAGAGGTAGTTCTAAGAGACGATCCCACCCAGGTGAGCAGAGCCCTGAGCCCATATTTCTTGTCTTAATTGGCAGGTGCAAGAACTGCAGAGCCCTCCAAGAGCCAGCCAGGTGGTAAAGGACTGTGTGAAGGCCTGTTTGAACTCCACATATGAGTATATCTTCAACAACTGCCATGACTTATACAGCCGCCAGTATCAGCTGGTAAGAGGTTCAGGATCAGGTGGGACCAGCTGTCAGTGGCTCTTGGAGCCTCAGCTTTCCTTTGCGGTGGTCATGGTAGAAGGGAGCTCAGGACAAAGTCCCAGTGTTCTTGAGGGAGAGTGAGTTTTGTAGAATTTGAACCATCTAGGGGTGTCGAACTCAATCAGAGAAGGGGCCAAAATCTAAAATCCAGCCTAAATCGCGGGCCGAATGGTTTACTGAACAGTCATAAACTGTCATTGTGATGGAAACGCAGCGGAGTGCAGTGATGACAGCGCGGTGCGGGCCACATTGCAAGGCCTGGCGGGACGGATTTGGCCCGCGGGCCTTGTGTTTGACACATGTGATAGACCATGTGAGACATTTGTGGATGGAGAGGGACCAGGTGTGACATAACTGAGTTGAACAACAGTGGGAACAGAAAGTTTTAGTTTAAGAAAATGAGTAAAATTTGAGCAGTTTCAGAGGGTGAATTTGTAGTCCATCCCAGAGTCTTTTTTTTTTTCTCCCCCAAGATTAATTTATTCTGACTCATATGGATCCCTCCGTGTTTCAGTCTCGTTCTTTTAAGATCTATAGTTTTCTCTCTGAGCTACTGGCTAATAGAAATTTAAGTTTTTCCTTTGACCACTTCTCTCTGCACTGCATGGTCTTCTACTGGCTAATAGAAATTTAAGTGTTTCCTTTGACCACTTATATCTGCACTGCATGGCAGCTGAATATCACAGCTGACCATGTCCTCTGAAAGACTGCCCTATTTCGCCTAATTTATGTTGGCATCCTAACTTAGTATCTGGGGACTTTGTGTATTTTTCTTGATCTCTTCAATAGTATTTTGTTTCTAATTTCGAGTTAATTTTTGTGGGTGGTATAAGATAGGGATTTAATTTCATTCTTTTGCATGTGAATATTCAGTTTTCCCAACACCGTTTATTAGGGAGACTTTATTTTCCCCATTGGGTATTCTTGGCTTCCCCAAGGCTTTTTCTTACTCAGCTAGTCAAGGAACTTCCTAGATGCAGTTTTCTTCCAGGGGTTAAGGGAAGTCCTAACCTACTGACAGGCCAATCTGCATGCTAGGACTGTTCAGTAGCTCCTGCAAAACGTGAAGTAGCTTCTCAGAGCTGAGATGTGCATGTTTGTGACAGGGATGGGGGCTGAGTTTCAGAGGAGGGCTGCTGGGTTTCTGTCGTGGGTTACATGCAACTAGACCTACTTAGTGAGACTCGAGGGGCTGCTTACTTTGGTCAAGGAGTCACAATACCTATAGCTTCTGAGGATATGGGATCAGGGATGAACTCTTGGTGTCCAAGGACCTCCCAATATTGGACAGACCTGTGGAAGACAGACTCTAAGAAAGGCACTTGATTCTAGAGGAAGGAGCTTGTGAAGGGGAAAGAAAGAGGAAAATTAGAGACACTTCACATTCTACTCTGACTCTGAAACTATCTCTTCTGGAACCAGAAGCAGGAACTACCTGCCGAGGAACAAGGACCCAGCATTCGGAACCTGGATTTCTGGCCCAAACTTATCACACTCATTGTGTCAATCATAGAGGAAGACAAGAATTCTTACACCCTTGTTCTGAACCAGTGAGTATTACCCGACTTGGCCCTGTCTGGTTGGTGGTTGGTTTGTCCATCTGTCTAACAGCCTCTTTCTTTCCTATCTCTGTGTGTTTGCAGTGCCACCTCTTCCTCCTGTCCGTCCGTCTGTCCCTCTGTCCCTTATATCTGTCTGGGTAGCTGTTTCTGGAGACAGGTGTGGAAATCTAATGGGGGGGCCCTGCCCATATGACCTCTAAGAACTGGGCACATTAGCCTTGCAATCAATTAAATCAAATGGTTCTTGCCTTGTTTTCTGACGGAGGGTTCTTCCATCATCCAGGTTTCCTCAGGAGCTGAGTGTGGGAAAAGTCAGCGCAGAAGTGATGTGGCAACTTTTTGCCCAAGACATGAAATATGCACTGGAGGGTAAGGGTGTGCCCAAGGCAGTGGGCTACAGGACCCTTGTCCAAGCACCTGGTTTTCTTTCTCTTTCCTCTCCCAGCAACTGCAAGTTCAGGGTGAATGGTACAGTGAGAAATAGAGGGATTCCATACATAGTGAGTGATAGGCCTCAGGAGGTCTCGGGTGGACAAAGTTTTAACCAAACAAATAATGTAAATGGCTATAAGTTTGTTCCTTCAGCTTGAGAACAAGTGCCTGCTTAAGACTTTCCCAGCCCAGGAATCAGCTCCTCCCATCTGGGTGTTCACAAGTGGCCCACTTCTTGGAGAAGAGTCTTATGAAATGTATCTTTTCAATGTTAACAAACCATAGACCCTTAAATACATAAATAGAATTCTTTTCTCACACTGGGGACTGCCTGGCCTGGCTTTCCTTAAAAGCTCTTCTATAAAAGGGATAGATGACGAGAATCTGTGATAACGGCCAGTGCTCCAGACTCTGGGCAAACTATGAGTGCTTTGTTCTAGATTTTCCAGAAGGCTTTGGAGATTCAGCTAGAAATTATGGACCCTTTCAAGTTCATAATGAGCATCCCGTTTTCTGTACCATGATGGGCCTCTCCTCTGGCTGTGTATCCATGGTTTCCAAACTAACTATTCTTATTTGCAAACTTCTGTGAGAGTTCATTTTTCAGGGTCTCAGCTTTGCTCTCGGGTCCTTCGGTTTATATCAAGATTCTGTTACACCATGGCTGCCCAATGCATTTTCTGTCAGCGTGGATCCACTTTGGTTATCCCTGTCTCTGTGTATTGTCATTGACCCAGTCATGTCATGTACAACTGCTCATCTCTGTATTTTTTTTTTTCCCTCACCTGAGGATGTTTTTCCATTGACTGTTTTAGAAAGAGTGAAAGAGAGAGGGAAAGACAGAAATATCTGTGTGAAAGAAACACATTGATTGGTTGCCTCCTGCACATGCCCTGACCAGGTTCCAGGCTGGGAAGGAGCCTACAATTAAGGTACATGCCCTTGACTGGAATCAAACCCAGAACCCTTTGGTCCACAGGCTGACACTCTATCCAGTGAGCCAACCGGCTAGGGCTCATCTCTACATTTTTAAGCCTGCATTTAAGCTTCTAGGATTAGAAAAGCCTTAGAAAACTAACACCCCCCTCCAGTTCTGGGTAGTCTCCCTACCAATCAGCATTAGCTCCCATATCCCTTTCTCATCTTCTTTACCAGAGGCCAGTACCTCACTTGGCACTTCCAAAAGCCAGAGCAGGAAGACTATAGGCCTTATCTGGGAGTCTGGCTTAGTCTCTTACAAAAGGTTTAGGCCAGCCTCTTAGAGAACAGAGCACTCACTGGTAGGGGGAACATGGCTATGAGGAGGTGGTTGGGAGGAGCTGCCTAACTGGATCAGCTGCCTTGAGAGAACTCAGGGCCTTTACTGCCAGGGTTGACCCAGCTTTCTTCCCTATCACTAGAGCATGAGAAAGACCGGCTGTGTAAGAGTGCTGACTACATGAACCTACACTTCAAGGTGAAGTGGCTCCACAATGAATATGTGCGGGATCTGCCTGCCCTCCAGGGGCAGGTACCTGAGTACCCAGCGTGAGTCACCAAGTGGGCACCATGGAGGGAAGGGCTTAGCGTGGGGGGTGGGGCCAGTATCCTCAATTTGGTTCGGTAAGCCAGTCTTGAGACCTGTTCTGGGCACTGCTATAGAAAGAGGAAGATGCCAAACATGTCCTACTTTCCAGAAGATCCCAGTCTGGGGGAGCTGTCAGGCATATGGCATATGCCAACAATTAGCTCCAGCCCCCAGTTCTCTTTCCTGGCTGCAGGTGGTTTGAGCAGTTTGTCTTACAATGGCTGGATGAGAATGAGGATGTATCCCTGGAATTCCTGCATGGGGCCCTGGAACGAGATAAGAAGGATGGGGTAAGTTAGGGGCTTGGGCTGCACAGGGTGAGGCCAGCAATTGGCTGTCAGCAAATGTTCCTGGGCTTTAGTTAGATGGGCTGTTCCTGCCCTGAGGAGTCCATAAGGAGGGTGGTTGAGGGCCACTAAGCCACCCCTACTGGGAAGAGCCCTTTTGAACCCTGTGAACTTGGAGAAAAATAGTGGCTGAATTTGCTGACCCTGTATGTGGCCTTCCTCAGTTCCAGCAGACATCAGAGCACGCACTCTTTTCCTGCTCTGTGGTGGACGTCTTCACACAGCTCAACCAGAGCTTTGAGATCATCCGAAAGCTGGAATGCCCAGACCCCAACATCCTTGCCCACTACATGAGGAGATTTGCTAAGGTGACCGTGACCCTCCTTTCCCCTTCCCCATACTAACACCACTCAAAGCCTAGTCACAGGCCTGAGTTGTGGTGACCTTGAGGTGAAACCTGGGTTATCCCATTATCCTTTGTTTGTGTCCAGGATGGACAGATGGATTTGTCTCAGTGCTGTTCTGGGGTTGAGAGGGAGCTTTGTCCTTTTTGTGAGGTTCTACTTTACCTCTATGTTGTTTTGTTCTAGGATGAGAGGTATGACCTCTCAGGAAAGATCCTTGTGGGTAGGGCTAAGGTTTCCTTCTCCTTTCCTTTTTTCTTTTCTCAGACCATCGGGAAGGTGCTGATTCAGTATGCAGACATCTTATCAAAGGACTTCCCAGCTTACTGCACAAAAGAGAAAATGGTGAGGATCTGGCCCTGGGACCATTGAAGAAGGGAATGGAAGCCACTTGAATCCTTCTTTTTTTGAAGCTGTTCTTAGAGCTGAGGGTGGGGTGATGCTCCTGACTTCTGATTCCCAGCAGGGCTTCGCTTGACATTGTGCCACAGAATAAGAACTTGACTAGGAGTTCATCTGAGCTTCCATTTGATTCTTTAGCCTCTACTAAGCTAGACTTTTGCTTAGTCTCTTTTTTAATAGTAAAAACAGAAAAGTTCAGATATTCTAAGAGTTTTAAAGGATAACACCATGAACACCTGGGGCCCACCCCTCAGCTTAAAAACAGAAACATTTGCTTCTAGTCTTCATTCATGGAGAATTGTCTGAATTGGTTCCAGATCTCAGTGCTTAGGGAGAGACACATGTAAAATTTGTCGTAATTTCCCTGTGGCTTTTGGAGTAGTGGTGAGAAAGGGAGGAACCGAGGCTGATGGGTTCTGTGCTAAAAGAAGCCAAGACTTAGCAGCTCCATCTGTCCCCAAAGCCCTGCATCCTGATGAACAACATGCAGCAACTGAGGGTCCAGCTGGAGAAAATGTTTGAGGCCATGGGAGGCAAGGAGGTAGGTCTTAGGGTTTGGGGTTGCTGTACTTTCCCTTTGTCCCTTAGCTTTCTGACCACAGAACTCTACCCTTTCTTACCTGGGTGTGGGCCAGGAGTTCAGCTTGGGGTCTGGGCTGGCTTGGGCTGAGAGATTTGAGTAGGCATTGGGGTTAAAGGCCCAAGGAGGGCGGAGTGGGGACACAGGATGGGAGACAAGGGTAATTGAACCAAGCCCACCTCCTGTGGATACAGTTGGATCCTGAAGCTGCAGACAGTCTGAAGGAGCTGCAGGTGAAACTGAATACAGTTCTGGATGAGCTCAGCATGGTGTTTGGAAACAGGTCAGTGGCCCCAAAACACATAGTCCTCAGAGCCAGATGTGGTTCCTAATGAATCTCAAAGCCCCTGCCCCACACCTGTCCATCCAGCTGCAGGTGTGTGGATCTTCCCTCTCTTCCTATTGGCTCCCCCAATTGGAGCTGTACCATGAGTGTTCTGGAGTAGGATTGAATTGCTGGTGCTACTCCAGGGACGGGAGTGTGTTTGGGAAGGAGAGGGTTGCACTATGGGCACATGTGTAGTTTCCAGGTGCGGATTGATGAGTGTGTTAAACAAATGGCCGACATCCTGGGCCAGGTGCGGGGCACAGGAAATGCATCCCCCAACGCCAGGGCCTCAGTGGCTCAGGATGCAGATAGCGTGCTCCGACCCCTCATGGACTTCCTGGATGGCAAGTGAGTACAGTACTCAAGACTGTCCTCTGGGACAAGCAAGGCAGAGGAGCCTCTTGGGGAGGGGGTTCTCACTCACCCACCCAGCCTTACCTGTTGCCTGGGTTGCAGCCTCACCCTGTTTGCCACTGTGTGTGAGAAGACAGTCCTGAAGCGTGTACTGAAGGAGCTCTGGCGGGTGGTATTGAACACCATGGAAAGGATGATTGTTCTGCCCCCACTCACTGACCACACGGTAAGGACACTTCCCTTCAGCTTCCTTCTGCTGTCTCCCTTGATCTTCCTGATCAAGTTTGGAGTCTTCTGCTTTTGACTGATTCCCTCTCTGTCCAGGGCACTCAGCTGATCTTCACTGCTGCCAAGGAGCTGAGCCATCTTTCCAAACTCAAGGTACTGTAGATCAGCAGTTGCCAACTGGTGGTCCATGAGGTCCGAAGGGTTGGCAACCGCTGCTCTAGATCTGTGGAGTCCTTCTGAGGCTGGTGGGGGCAGGGCGTTGTCTGGAAGGAAGGAAGGAAATTTAAGCTTTGAGAACTGAAGAGGAGGGAAAGGAGAGTGCCAAGTAGCTGTGGGTTGACAGGTAAGGGCAAGATTTTCATGACAGCCCCAAGCTGACCTGATGCTGTTGCTTTCTCTGTGGTTCCAGGACCACATGGTGCGAGAGGAAACACGGAGTCTCACTCCGAAGCAGTGTGCTGTCCTTGACCTCGCGCTGGACACCATCAAGGTGGAGACCTCCCCTGCCTCCAGACAGTTTTACTACCACACCCTCTTGGCCCTGGCATTTCACTCTGCCAGACTAGATGACCCTCAGGCTCCTGTCACCCACATCAAAGAGAGTGGTTTTAATGTCTATTTCTTTCTTTGCTGTGTCTGTATTCCTACTTGGGAGCAACCAAAAAGGCAACTCCTGTGTGGTTTAGGGTGACTCACCATGGACCTAAAATACTTACTTATTCCTGGGTTCTGAATTGCACACATTCAATTTACTTAGCTCTTCATTGCCATTCCTGAATATTTTCCACTGGGAATTAATCTTCCAGATCCTAATACCCCAGATCTGGCTGATATTTCCCTCTTTCACTTACATATAAAGTTATTTGGGTTTTCAAAGGAATTATTTTTTTCTACTACCCACTTCAATGGGGCAACATGCACCAGACACTGTACTGTGAATGATACAGAAAGAATCAATGGTTCCTAGCCTCCAGGTGGTTGTAATGGTTATGAGGCAGGTATATGAGAACTATGATTCAGGGCACTTGGGAGAGGTAGGTCATAGGTATAAAGTTCTCTGAGAATTCAGAGGGGATAAAAGAGCACTTCTGTCTCCTCTCTGCCTGAAATGCTTCCTTCTCATGTCTTTGCTTGTCCATATAGATCCGTCCTTCAAAACCAAAAATCTAGTAACATGGCCATCCCCTCCCCACCCTACCAGAGACCCAAATAACACTCTTCACCGGAGAGATGTGCTGCCTGATCTTGTTGTTTACTGATTGACTTATTGTTCTCACCATCCTCTTCTGACATCTTCGTTGAACCTCAGATATCATTTCTCTGAGGACAAATGTTGGGGAACTGCCTCTCTATGAGGGCACGAGGCAGTAGCACATGCCCTTATAGGACATGCCTCTTTTGTCTTTCAGCAATACTTTCATGCAGGAGGCAATGGACTGAAGAAAACCTTCCTGGAGAAGAGCCCAGATCTGCAGTCCCTGCGCTATGCCCTATCTCTGTACACACAGACTACAGATACACTCATCAAAACCTTTGTGCGTTCACAGACTGCCCAGGGTAAGACTAAGGGCTTTGGGTCCCTGCTTCCCTTTCCTGGTCTATCTCTGCCCCTATGGAGGTAGGGTCCTCTAGCTCTTGGACCTTTCTAAGAGGTACTTCTTCATAGATCCCTTCAAACTCAGACCCCAGGATTTATTTTATTTTATTTTTTTTTATATTTCTTTATTGACTTTTTACAGAGAGGATGAGAGAGAATCATTGATCAGCTGCCTCTTGCACACCCCCTATGGGGATGTGCCTGCAACCACAGTACATGCCCTTGATCAGAATTGAATCCGGGACCCTTCAGTCTGCAGACTGATGCTCTATCCATTGAGCCAAACCGGTTTCGGCAGACCCCAGGATTTCTTGAAGAACCCTAATACTTACCCCCAACCCATACTCAATACCAGACAGGAGAATCACAGGGACCTGGAAAATGTGCCTGAGATTATTTTCCCCAGATATTGCCTGTTTCAGTGCATGTTTATTGAGCTCAAGTAGTATTACCTTGTTTGGTAGGGAAAAATCTAGCAAATCAGTGATTGAGACATTCATGAGGACTGATGGCTTTGGGAACCTTTGTTGGAAGTTGTCCTGGGCATAGAAAGCAAAAGACTTTCCAGATTATCCAGCATAGACAAGAAGAAGAGAGGCAAACGGTTGGAGAATTGAAGAAATAGTGCAGATCACATACATAGCTGAGCTCCAGCCTCATGGGTGATGCTAATGCACCGGGGACCCTGAAGGCTGGTTTTCTCCCAGTGACTTCCAGTCCTCAGAACCCCTCCCTGCCTCCAGTCAGGCCTATCCATAACAAAACGCATCCGGATAAACATGGCTAAATTCTGACCCTGACCTTGGAGAAGGGCCCTTCCAGGAAGGACCTTCAGGTACATTTATTATTGTTTGTTCCAGGGAAACCTGGGCATGCTTCCTGGGGCAGTGAAGCTGGTGGAGGAGGGATTGGGAAGGCTGGGCCTTACTGAGCTATGGAACTGGAATATAAAGCTGACCTGAAGGGGAAAAGGAATCTAAGCAGTTAGACTAGACTTGATGGAAGGTGAAAAGATACATAAGACCTGCAGTACTACATTTTTCACATCTGTTTTTATTTTAAGTCTAGGGTGGGAAGAAGAGGAAGCAAAAGAAATTTGAGCCTTGCTTAAGGGGACAGAGAAAACCTTTATAGAGTTGAGTACATGTAAAGGTCTATAACATTAGGAAAGTTCTAAGTTAATCCAGAAAGACTTTTAAAAAAACACACACCAACAACTCTGAGCTTTAAGCTAAATATAAAGATGAGCAGAAGCTGGAATAGACAGATATGAGGTAAGAATAGGAGTGAGGACTGCAGGGAGGATCCGAGTTTATATGTATATTTTTCTACCCATTGCTTTATTACTTAAGAGCCTAGGAAATTAGAGCCTACAGCCTTTCTTTTTCGTGCCCCACTGGACTTAGATACCTTCACACTCTTATGATTTGATTGATCTTTGACCTATGAAGTCTGATTTGGAGTATTCAGACACTGACCCCAGCTTTGTTACTTCTCTTTCCACCCTGCACTATCTCTATGCTCCCTTAGAATATGTGTAGAGCTGCTCTGAATGGCTGTTAACTCTTTAGACCACTAACTGATTCTTCTTTCTCTATCCTACTGCTGCTACTACTTCTTGACTTTCCTGTCCTCACTCAGTACATGATGGGAAAGGTATTAGGTTTACTGCTAATGAGGACATTCGGCCGGAAAAGGGTATGTTATAAACCATGCAGATATGACCCTAACATTGCCTAACACTGTGTCACCTGTGAGCTAACATGAGCTGCTTATTTTTTGGGGTGGAGGAACCAGATGTCAAAGTTCAGTAGCTCTATCCCAAGTCTGAGATGGGCATTGTATTCATACAGTCTGAGACAGGATTAGCTATAGTTCTGTCCTCAGAATTATCCTTACCCTCCACCTTAGAACAAAGAAGTTTTATCTGGGTGGAGGGTATTGCTGGTTTTTTATTTGTTTGTTTGTTTGTTTGTTTTCAAAATAAAGTGAGGCCTCTGCTAAGGGGAACCTGCTAATTGGCCAGACATTGAGATTGGGAAACTGTGGAGAGGTCCAAATTGGAATTGGATAACCTCTTTCTGAGCAGAGCAGCCTCCCAAGCAGGGGCCTCTAGGAATCCAGGGACAGGTGGGATTACTGCTTTTGTCCCATTTAGACCATGGGATGGACGTAGTTCCTAAAGACGCAGGGTGGCAGCACTCTCCTCCAACATCTGCAACCTAGGAGCTAGGAGAGGTTTGAGGAACCTGAGAGATTCCTGGTGCATTTTTAAAAGAAGTTTTGCCTAATATCTTGTAAGCCTAACTTGTATTTTAACACACAGCCTCATTCTTTATCCCCTTTTATTCACTTCTCCCATGCTTACTTCCCCATGGCTATTGTGGGTGACTGCCTCTCACTTTAGGGTTTAGGGTTATGGCCTCCTAACTCCTGTTTTATCTGGAACAATTAGGCCTAAAATCTCCTTCAGTAGAGGATGATGTGTCCATCTGTCCCTCAGGGTCTGGGGTGGATGATCCTGTTGGAGAAGTCTCTATTCAGGTGGACTTGTTTACACATCCTGGGACTGGAGAGCACAAGGTCACAGTGAAAGGTGAGTGGCATGGACTTACAGGTCTCACACCACTTCTTGCTCAGTGGCCTCATCAGTCAAAAGCAGAGCCTGTTTAACCCAGCTTAGCCCTCTTCTACGGGGAGTGCCACCTGGGGCTTGAGAACCAGGAACACTTGGTGTAACCCCTCATAAGTTCCCCTTGTTTGGACAGTGGTGGCTGCTAATGACCTCAGGTGGCAGACAGCGGGGATGTTCCGACCCTTCGTGGAAGTGACCATGGTTGGCCCACATCAAAGCGATAAGAAGAGGAAGTTCACGACCAAGTCAAAAAGCAACAACTGGGCCCCCAAGTACAACGAGACATTTCACTTGTAAGTTGTGGGATGGGGATTTGCAGGACTGCGGGATGGGGGTAAACTGGGAGATGAGACTTGAGAAGGGAGGGAGGGGGTGGACTGAATGGCAGCTGGGATGAATTCTGTTGAAGATCTCCTCATTTCTGGCCTCCTCCTACCTTACTCTGTGATCACAGCCTCCTGGGAAATGAAGAGGGGCCAGAAGCCTATGAATTGCAAATATGTGTGAAGGATTACTGCTTTGCCCGAGAGGATCGTGTCCTAGGGTTGGCCGTGATGCCTCTGAGGGATGTGGCAGCCAAGGGCAGCTGTGCCTGCTGGTGCCCCTTGGGCCGGAAGATCCACATGGATGACACAGGCATGACCATCCTCCGGATCCTGTCTCAGAGGAGCAATGACGAAGTGGCTCGAGAGTTTGTGAAGCTCAAATCCGAGTCTCGTTCCATGGAGGAGGGGAGCTGAGCACCTGAGCTCCTGTGCCAACCAGATGGCGCCAGTTCCACAAATCAGGGCCGTGGGAGTTACTATGTAGCCAGCTTAGGTCCTCACAGTGAAAAGGCTGACTTCTTCAGTTAAACAAATTTAAGGAAAATTTGGCTTTTCACAGAAAGGGTCATGAATCCCTGACCAGTAGGTCTGTGGTGCTAGGGGGTTACTGCATAGGGGTATTTTCCATAAAGAGAGGGACAGACATTTCTGAGAGTGTCACTCATTCTTGGTAGACACACCTCCACTCAACACCCCATGTCTACCCCTCTCCATACTGCACCTTATCCAGTTGGACCCCTATGTACCAGTCATTAGAAGAACAAGTTTAGAGGAGCAGGAGCTTATGCCTGGCCAGCTAAGTAGTCAGTTGAGCCTATAGGTATCACTGAACCCTGTAGTCTGGTTTGAAGTATAGCCAGGGCTAGAGCACACAGAATAGAATTCACACTGTCCCTTGAGCAGAACCCACTGGTTTTGTGTGCATCCAGTGAGAAAAAAGGCTTTGAAACTGAACAAGATACCTCGAGAAATGAGCTCTGTTAATCCTTTACCCAGTTTATATCTGTTGTGAGCAGAAGCAGGTTCATATGGTGCTTCAGAGCCTTGAGCAGAATATTCTTTGGAACCCAAGTACCAGAGGCTACTTTCCCAGGAGTCCCTCTACCTCACTCCTGTAGGAAGGGAAGTGATGCTTCAGGACATGAGAGGCTGTTTTTGTGTGTATGCATCTGAGGACTAATTGAAAGATCCAGGAGAGGGGACTATATTTCCTTCTTGGGTAGGTAGGCCCCGAACAAAGCCAAAAATTTTGGAAATTAGTCTAGAAGGAGTCTCCTCACTTATGGCCACTGCCTTCTGGCTGTCCCCCTCTTGTAGAAAGAATCTAGCCTTTGACTTCACTCCTTTCATTGGGTCAGCTGTGTCCCCCTTACAGGTGTTCAGCCCTCTGGAAGAAACGTGCCCTATGATCCCTCCATGCAGGCTGGGCGGAGGAGGGCCTCAACATTCTTGCAAGGGGTCTTATGGGCTTTGCAGGCCTTGCTCAGAGAAATGACATGGTCCTTCAATATCCTTGGTAGCAGCTTCCTGGACTTCCTTCCTGGACTTTCTGAGGACTCTCCATTGTCCACAGTTGTACTGGTCATTACATTTAACAAGAAACTAAGCATATTTGCTGTTGTTAATTATTGTATGTGCCATTGTTACAGGAGATTATTGGCTAGTCTGTAATAAATTATCTTATAGTAGCCTTTGGGGTCTTGTAATTCTGCTAAAATGTGGAAAGTTGTAGAAATGACTGTCCTATATAATGGCCTATTTTGGACCAGTGGATTTTCTGCTCTTCCCACCCCCTCCCCAAACCTACCTCTCACTCACCCCTGCCCCTGCTAGTGGTGGATAAGCACCAAGCAGTAAAGCAGCCAGTGTGCCAGCATCTTGGCCTTAACCTGAGACCAAACAGTCCAGTTAACAAAAGCATGAGACCCAGGGCATAAGCTTCCTGCTAAAGGTCCAGAAAATAGGAGATGGCATGTGAAAACTAGTCCATGCTCTGTCTTTCCTGTTCTAGAATCGCGAGGCTTTTCTTCTAGGACAGACACAGCATGGGCCATAAGAACAAGGAAGGGGGCTCTGGGGGAGAGATGTGTTTCCAGAGGTTGGGGAGGGTTGAGGCTGCCTGTGCAGGACAGGGGTGTAGGCCCAGGTGTGCACAGTGGCCTTTCATGCAGGGAAATTCAAGAATAAAGTCTACTCCCAACAGGGAAGAAACAAGGTAAAAGTGAGGCCTCCTGGCGTGGGAATCAAAAAAAGTGTTCATCTACTCTCAACTTGCCCTGTCACCACTTAACAGAGTGGCTCCCAAAGGGCACCCATTTATCCTTTTACCTCATAGAGCAGGCCCCAGCTAAGGCCCATTAACTCAGGGATTTTTGTCTACTTTTCCAGCACTACCCAAATTCTCTGAGAAGGGAGCTAACTAGAGCCTCCCAGTTTCTTATTTCCATTTGCTTGCTAAATAAATCTTTATAGTTCAATTGCCCAGTCATTTTTAAACTTCTTCCTTTCCCAAACCAGTTGCCTATCATTTTTGCCTCAAGCTTTACTCTTTGGGTTTTTATTTAGTTTTGTTTTGTTTTGTGAAACCTAAATTTACTTCTATTTAAAAATGCTCTAGAGACTTTAAAAAGGCCCAGAGGGCAAAAAGCCCAAAGGTGTCCAGGTTTAATTTAAGATCAACCTGACTTGGTGTCTGTCCATTTCTCCTTTGTGAGGCATCAATTTGATCCTTGTTAATGAGACACCTCGGTAATTCTAGTTGGATTGCGGTGGCATCTTGTGACGCCCAGTATCTGTCATAAATGGCCATCAGGTTATGAACGATGAGAAACGTAATACCAGAAATAATCACAAGACGTCTGCAGATTTTACTTGAATATCCTTTCTGAATTATTCATCGCCACCAGGCCCAATGATGACCAATTTGAGTAGTGGTCATCATGATGAGTGTCACCTGCAAAGACTGGTATTAAATGCAGCTCTTTCAGAAAGAAACCAGCAAACACCCTTCAAGATGAACATCTCAAACTTAACTTTTGAATTCCTGGTCTCTCCTCAGTTACCATACCACAACTGGCCCAGCTGGCATGGCTCAGTGGTTGAACATCGACCTGTGAACCTGGAGGTCACGGTTCAATTCCTGGTCAGGGTACATGCCCAGATTGTGGGCTCAGTCCCCAGAAGGGGGCATGCAGGAGACAGCCGAACAATGATTCTCTCTCATTGATGTTTCTATCTCCCTCTCCTTTCCTCTTTGAAATCAATAAAAATATATTTAAAAAGGAAACACACACACACACACACACACACACACACACAAAATACCACAAGTGGAGTAGTGGCTTGTAGTTCTTATTTGGATTGCTGTTGATCATCTGCCTTCATTCTGCCCCTGCCCTCTTCACACACTTTGGTCTCTTTCCTGGTAAAGCTATTCAGTAGTTACCTATCGTAGTCTTTAGGCTGAAATTCCAAGACCCTTCAGGACAAGGACAGGCACCCCTCACCGCCCTGCGGCTATTCTGAAGCACTTCCTTTGCAGTGGGGAAGCGGGTGAGGGGGAGGCTTCCCCAAGTTCTCCCGGCCCACCCCGCCATTCAGTCCCCCCTTTCCCCGCCATACACACCCTTTTCCACTGCCTTCTGGGTTCTGACATCCTGATTTCCTTTAAGACCCAGCCAATCCTGGACACCCTCCCCACAATACTCTACACCAGTGTTTCCCAAACTTTTGACATATGTGTACCCTTTCTATAATTTCCTTAATGCTGAGTACCCTTCATACTCATGAGAACGCAGAATTAGGCGCAGCTAAGCACGGTACAGTGCATATCCCCACAAAACTCTTCCCATACCCCTGGGGGTAGGCGTACCACACTTTGGGAAACACTGCTCTACACTGTTCTAATTTACTCGGTCTGCCTGCTCCCCATCAGCCTGAATCTATCCAAAGGCAGGGTCTGGGTATTTCATCTCCCTTCCCCATCTGCCTGTACAGAGAGGACACCTAGGTAGGATTCCTTTTGGAAAGCCAGTGAAGGAAGGGGCGTGGTCGGAGGCGGGGCCGTGGGGAGGGGGCGTGTCGGAGGCGGAACCGTGGGGCTCCACAGCGCGCCTGCGCAGGAAGGTGCGTTAAGATGGACGTCGCTGGAATGGACGTCTGCCTGGCGACGGTGAGCTAGAGGTGCCCGAAGGTGGCTCTGGAGAAGAGGTTATAGCCTTCTCCTTCCCAACATTGAAGACTCTGTCCCTATACTCCCTGACATCCGAACCCCTCTGTGTACTTTTCAGCACCTGTCCTTGTCCATCCCCGGACTTCACTGTAAAGTGTTCTCCCGGTGCTCCTCGAGGTTACTTCCCTTCCCTAAACTTAAACCTATGGGTTTTCCAGACTCGGGGGGAAATTATCTGTGCAGATACTCAGCAAAGGGGATCTTTAGCCCACATGTACCTCCCGCAGGGCACATTTATCCAGTTACCTCACAGAGCCGGTCCCCAGCTGAGAAGGCACATTAACTCGGAGTTTAATCTGCTTCTCCAGCACTATCCACGTTCTCTGAAGGGGCATAAGTCTTATGCCATACTTGACTTGGAAGTGACACATTTGTTGTAATTTCTTTCTCATAGGGCAGGGACCTGCTTTATAGGAAAAGTCAAACTTTGACTACTCTTGGTTAATAGGCTTGCAGATTTGACTCAGTAGCTAACTTAAATATATATATATTATATATAATTGATTTTTTACAGAGAGGAAGAGAGAGGGATAGAGAGTCAGAAACATCGATGAGAGAGAAACATCGATCAGCTGCCTCTTGCACGATCTCTACTGGGGATGTGCCCGCAACCAAGGTACATGTCCTTGACCGGAATCGAACCTGGGACCCTTCAGTCCGCAGGCGACGCTCTATCTATTGAGCCAAACCAGTTTCAGCAGTAGCTAACTTTTTAAAAACAATTATCATGCTTTAAAATGCAGATTTTTAGCTTTCTGAAAAATTGAAGGATTTGTTAGCTCACATTCTCACAACGTGATTGGTTGTTGGAGCTGAGAAGCAACTGGTAAATTAGTTTACTGCAGTTTATTAGATAACATTACTCCTCATTTTCTGATTGTACTAAGTTTTATAATTATTTGCCTGTTACTGTAGGCATTTGTGTTTGTGATCCCTGATATCTGTAGGAATTAATTTCTGAATCGATACTTTGAGCTCTTGATGGGAACTGACATACACAGAGGTTGGATTTGTGTTTAGGTTGTCTTTTGGTTTCTGTAATGCTCTGATTAGGTACAGAGATCATCCTAGTAGCTAAAACCCAAGGTGAAATATGAACTAAAGTAGTTTTTTTTAAAAATATATTTTTATTGATTTTTTACAGAGAGCAAGGGAGAGAGAGAGAGAGCTAGAAATGTCGATGAGAGAGAAACATCGACCAGCTGCCTCCTGCACACCCCCCACTGAGGATGTGCCCACAACCAATGTACATACCCTTGACCGGAATCGAAAACGGGACCCTTCAGTCCGCAGACTGACGCTCTACCACTGAGCCAAACCGGCTTCGGCTAAAGTAGTTTGTTTTTAAATAACAGAATTCAACCAAAATATCTGTAGGTTGTTCCCTGGTGCATTTGATCTTGAAGAAATCCACTGTGTTAACTCCTCTCTGATGAGATCATGGCAAAGTATTGTTTCTTTTTGAATACTTGGTTATAAAAGGGGCCTGGCTCTGATCTATTCTGAAAGTGACATATATATATATTTTTTTAATATATTTTATTGATTTTTTTACAGAGAGGAAGGGAGAGAGATAGAGAGCTAGAAACGTCAATGAAAGAGAAAGATCAACCAGCTGCCTTCGGCACACCCCCATTGGGGATGTGCTCGCAACCAATGTACATGCCCTTGACCGGAATCAAACCTGGGACCCTTCAGTCGGCAGACCGACGCTCTACCACTGAGCCAAACCGGTTTCGGCTGAAAGTGATATTTTAATGGTGCTATCTCTGTGCCAAAACACACAGATGGTAACCCTCTTTTCTGAGGGAAATAACAGGTCTCATAATGTCAAGAGTGGGAGTGTTCTGCAGGTTGTATCTAATCAGAAGTAGAACAGGACCTTTCACAGTGGATTTTTAAAGAAGCAAATATCATTTTTTTTAGCGTAAGTGTATGACCCATCCTGAGTGAATCTGCCATACCCAGAAGCAGAATGGTAAAGCTGAAGAAACAACATGGAATAATGGAGATGGCATAATACTGTGAATATTGGTCTCAGCTCTGCTACATAATAGTCAGGGATCCTTGATCTTTAATTTCTCAGAGGCTGTTTTGTGCATCTATCAAATAAAGCAATAATTCCTGTCAGGTGTACCTCAGAGGAATCAAATGGGCTCATTAAATGTGAAAGCACTTTGATAACTACATTTTCTCTAAGTGTATAAGGCATTATTATTATTTTTAAATACATTTTATTGATTTTTTACAGAGGAAGAGAGAGGGATAGAGAGCTAGAAAGCTCTTCCTCTCTGTACAAAATCAATAAAATATATTTTTTTAAAAAAAATAAAAATAAAAAAATAGAAAGCTAGAAATGTCGATGAGAGAGAAACATTGGCCAGCTGCCTCTTGCACACCCCCTACCGGGGATGTGCCCACAACCAATGCACATGCCCTTAACCGGAATCGAACC